TTCCCTATTTTAATCATTTAGGTTCTCATATAATTCTAATAATTGAAATAATAGTTTACGAATGATATTTTGCTGCTACACCCAAGCAAGTCTTTAATTATAATCCATATGATTACAAAGTAATGCTTCTAAAAACAAACATTTTTCTACACTAATACCGGTACTTTCTGTTAATCACAAGATAGATTATAAGCTTCAAGTCAGCTCTTTGATTTTTCTCCTTATTGGCTTCTTGTGCTTCAAACTTTTTGTATACGAAAAGTTTAGCAACAAATACATAAACGCGTTATAACCGTTAAAAATATTATAAATTTTACATATATTAAATTAAATGGTAAATGGATACCCGTTATAACTGCGTGCAATACCCATAACTAATGGTTACCTGTTATAACCGCGGGTAATACCCATAACCGCCCATTTAAATTTCACGGATAAACGGTTATACCCATAACCATTTGTTCATCTAAACGGTTACCCATAACCATAACCGTAAACTTTAAATGGGCGGGTAATCGCGGTTAACCAAACCCATAGGTATTTTTCCCATCCCTATTCTCGACTGCCTTAAGAAATCCCTCATTGACAAGAAGGGACAATGGCCAGACGAACTCCCCGGATGTATATGGGCATATTGCACCACCAAAAGACAAGTAACCGAACAGTAAGGAGATGGCCACAAGCTTAAATCTGGCAAAGAAGAAGCGCAAGTAGACCATCACCCGCATCGCAGCCCACCAGCAGCAGCTCCTCTCCAACTACAACAAAAGGGCCAAGATACGACAATTCCAACCTAGAAATGTAGTCCTAAGAAAAAACCTTCATCACTGCCCGCAGATAAGGCTCTAAAAAGATGGATCTCATCTGGGAAGGTCAGTAAAAGATCAGCAGAGTAGGCGGCAAGAGTAGCTGCACCTATGCCACCAAGAACGACAATGAGATCGAAAAGTAGTGGAGCTCCTACAATTTGAGGAAGTGCCATATACGACCTCCCGCAACACCAAAGCCTGAAAACTCAAGCAGCTCGACGAACACCACCTAACCAGCCGATGATTATCCAGTTGTTATGCAGTTCCTACCTTACAGTTAAAGTTCTCGTTCGTTTCACTCGTTTTTCAATGAGGAATTTAAAAGTAATCTACAACTTGGCTTGCCTGCATGCTTAGAACAACTGATCACTCATGCACTTCAAAATAAGATCGCACCCTTATTAGAGACTCATCGCAGGAATTGCACCCCCCGAGAGACCAACCATGCTCTCTAGTGTGAGAGGGTAAACCAATTCCCTGACATTTGCTCTCCAGTGTGAGAGGGTAAACTAATTGCTTTCCAGTGGATGAGGGTGCGATAGGGTAAATCAATTCCCCGACACCCACATAGGTTTGCTTTCTAGTGCGAGAGGATAAACTAATTGCTCTCCAGTCTAAGAGGGTAAACCAATTCCTTGACACCCACATGGGTTTGCTCTCCAAAGGGGGAGGATAACCTTACACTCGGGATATCCAGACGTGGATGAGCCAGACTGCCCTAGTATAACTAGGTGCACGATGGCTTGCATCGGGATTCCTAGAAGTTGCCACAATAGTCTTTTTCAAGGCTTAGTTAACGGAAGGATTTTGGGTCTTTTGGCCTAATCCGTGAGAAATCGGGCCTCAAAGACGGAGGAGGCACATTACATAGTACGCCCCATGGACAGCTGCCCTGGAACCCTAAAGCTGCTACCGAGTGCACTAAGGTAGTCTACGATTTCCGGAAGACTGCTTACGGCTTGCCCATCGAGCAGTAAAGCTGTGCTAGACTTATACAACCGCACATTCTTGTGAAAGGTTAAACAAGCTCGCGTGAATATACAAAGCTTTATCCACTGCCGACATGTTACGTAGTCAATAAGCTTCACCACTGCCAAGCACGGAACGATCTACACCAAGTCCTAAAATGTTGTGATACTTGCTACGCAACTTACGGAATTGGAGAAAGCCAAGGTTAACAGCCTAGTGGTCACGTGGACTTGTCTGCTTCTGTAAATAAGGTGTCCGGCTATCGACTTTATGGCTAACAACTTTGCAAAGTTCTACACCAACACCTACGGCTACATAGCAAACTCGGCCTGTCTGCTTATAGAAAAGTAGCACGCCTGCCACTGGTCCATAAAGTCTAAAGGTCAGGGCATGAACAAAAGAAGCGAAGATGGAGAAAAGTGAAGGAAACAAGTTTATTAAATTTTCTAGCAAAATTGATAAACGACTAACAAAGACCGAAAAAGTTTAAGCAAAGCAAAAGCAACAAGGAACACAAAGAAAACCCTAAAGACTACCTAAAAGACTATTCTTCAGCAACTTGGACACTCTACGACTACTCGGTTGCCACACCTTCAGCAGCCGCGACATTCTCAGCAGCAGCACCATCTAGCGTTTCACCCCCGGCTGCTCTAGCCTGGGCACCAATCTCTCCGTCTACTTCACCAATAGAAGCCTCAAAAGTAAAGGTAAGCAAGCCTTCTAGAGAAATAGAGAATAAACGTCCATGTCTTCAAGCAGATCTAATTTCAAAAACGCACAAATCTCAGTAGCCTCCCCAGAAACAGGCTTAATAGATTTCTCACAGTTGACCACTCGAGCAGTCTTATGCTTCCCAGCAAGCGAATCAATCTCAACAGCAAAAGAAGTGGGCCTTAACGCCACTTTAGTAGCAGAGTCCATCTGATCCCTCTTCATAATAGCAAACCTCTTTAAAGGTAAACATGACTTAGCTCCTAACGGACATCTTGGTACAAACTTTGACACTGGGGGCATGACAAACCTTTACGCTAAGCAATCCTATCAGCAATTGCACTAGCCATTCTCGACATGACAGGCGTTATAGGCTTAGATCTAGCAGCCTCATTTTTCTTCCCATTAGAAGAAGTCATGTCAATCATAGGCCTCTAGGCAGCAGGCGGACCGTCATGAGCAGCAGATGAAGTCTTCAGTTTTTTCTCAACCGGCATCTCTTAAGCAGGAGAGGAATGTCTATTATTTCCACCTTTATTCATAGTAGGCTCCACGAAAGCGATCAGGAGAGCCAATGCATCTGCCTTAATCCTTTTTACCTATTCTCTCGGAAGCAGCCCACATTTCTTCAGGCGAAGATAACTAAGCAGACAACGCCATTCACGGTACTCAGCAGGGGAACTCAACTTATACTGGCTTTTCCCTTATTTTTTTCTCTCGAACCAACGAGCGGGAGGCCTGTATACCCAGTATTCTAGCAGCTTATGAGGCCCGCGACCTCCTCATTTCTCTCAATCGCTAGCATGGCCCGTGTCAGGTCCAAGAGCCCAAAGAACATGAGCCATACGGCTCACCTAACATACACCCTATCACCTCAATCCATGGCCCCAGTCGCACAAGCTACCCTTGGCTCTAGCCAAGTCATGCAGCCTAAGTAGTGGTCCTTGCCACAACACCTCATCGGCCCATGCCGAGTTGACTCCTAGCCTTTGCCTATCGATGTGCCACAACACCCTAACGGCTGTCTACACTATCCAAGAAAAAGATGAGAAAAATTAAATTTTTCTTACTTCAGTGCGGCGCGGAAAAGACGAAGTAGGCAACGAAAGACGATCATTTGCAGGGACAAGATGTAGAAGATTTCTAGAGGAGAGGGAACAAATATCCTCTAAACTCTTTCTTTCTTGTAGGCTAAAATAAATCGCTCTCCAAATTTGATTTAATAATCCACTTAAGGTGGACTTAAATAGGTTTTGAGATAAATTTATCTCATTTTCCTAGAAGGATCTAATTTCCAATTAAAGAGGGAATCCACATCAAAATAGGAAACAATCTTATGTTTCCTCAAGCAAAAAGATCTCTACACCTGTTGCCCTTTCCTGCAAGCAACCCAACAGGTGTGGGGGCATTTGTGGAGCCAAAAATAATCAAGAGGCGATACATGGATTTTTGGGTATAAAAGGACAATTACCCTCGAGGTGCACCGGAACTTCTACGCGTCAGTAATGGATAATCATTCCTCAATCAAGTCAAAAGTGCCCAAATATGTATTTATTTACAACTCATTTCATCCATCCTTATCATATCTTCTCCATAAGGTAACCCCTAAATCCTTCCTCTTTTATTATAATAATTAGCTAATTAATTAAATAATTATTCCATTAATTAGCTAATTAACCACAAATCAAGAACCTAACCCACAAAACTATCCTAGTGGCCGGTCCATCTCCTCCCAAGATGGCCTGCCACATCCCTATATAAGCCCTCTCATTCTTTCCAAAACTCAATTCCAATTCTCTTGCTAAACTCTCTAAATTATCCAAATATTTTTCCCTCAAAATTCTAAATTTGGCATCGGAGGTTCTTCGGCCAAAGCTTTTCCTCCAACCAGGAGGCCAATCACAACGCGACACATGTCGGTATCAGATGCCAATCACAGTGCAACACATGTCGATATCAGAGGCCAATCACAACATGACACGTGTCAATGTCAGAACAAAGCTAAAAACTCTTTTCTATAAAAGGGGATCATTCTCCCATAATAATCCCTAATGTCATTTGTACTAAACTATTCACTAGAACTCATTGAAAGAGAGCTTGAATATATGTATTTGTGTAAACCCTTCACAACTAATGAGAACTCCTCTAATCTGTAAACGTAGCCAATCTGGGTGAACCACATACATCTTGTGTTGTTTGCTTCCCTGTCTCTATTCATTTACATACTTATCCACACTAATGAGCAGAGCAATCTAGCGAAGGTCACAAACCTAACACTTTCTGTTGTAACAAAGTCCTCGCCGATTTTGTGCATCAACACAATGTACTATTTAGTGTAAACTTAAAAGGACATAACTGATGATATGGCTAAATAACATAAGGAAAAACAATGAAAATGGAGGTTAATTAGAGTACATAGATTAACCTAATTATTAAGAACCATTGGAAACCAACACACACACACACGCAAATGAAATTGAAGAAGATGGGGTTAATAAAGTATGTAATTACGATGATAATGGCGGCGATGGATTTGTTAACCCATCGATTTTCTTCAAACAAATGGCCGATGACCATGCAAAGGCAGAGAACCGCCACATAGACTAAGACTGGTATCACTTGCGCATGCTCCCGCGCCAAGTTTCTTGCAAACTCATACGCTTCCACCTCAATTTCTCAGCCTTCAACCAAATATTAACCAGCTGTAGTGCTGGATTTTTAGATCGCCAGGTTCGCCCCACTCTAACGACACCGATATTGTCCCCAACTTAACCACCTGCCCAATCCGTTAAGTGTGAGATTTTATCACAAAAGACCTCGATATTAGTTAGAGTACGGTAATCATATTTAAACCCCTTTGGTTTTCTTGCACTTAGCTACTGTGCGACATTAACATGTAGTACATCTGCATTCCATCAGACGACGTCGTGCATATATATAAAAACTGCAGAATAATTACACACAAAGATGCGTGCCTGTGAGATAATTTGATCACTACTGTCTGTAAGAGAGAGAAAGAGAAGGATGAGCCTACGTGGTTGATGAGTGTTCGTAGTCAGGGTTAACACGTGGCTGAAATGCATGCGAGTGATACATGGCAGCAGCTTATTTTGTTGAGAGGTTTTCAAGGTGTCCGGAACACATGTCAGTGTATCATATGCATTATAAATTGAAGAAACACTTAAAACAGACATTTTCTCTATTTGTATAATAATAAATGATATACCGTATCTCGTATTCTGAACTAAAAAAATCTTTCATTCTATTAGTCCAGGGACTAGCATGTATTGGTGAAATTTTACTACCCTGTATGGAGTAGTCATTTTGTGAGTCGAGAGAATCACATGTACCATCATGTCCCTACTGATTAGTGATCATTGTCACTGTAAACTGCAAAGTTGTAGGCTTTTATTTAAGTTCGGAATAATTTTTTGTCTACCTTTCTCAAGATCGAGATGTTGGATCTTCTTGTCTTATCTTTTTGGTTTTTTTCATCTTGCATCGTTGTTTACTTGCTTGATGATCCGAATTGTGGAATCTCTAAGTCATTCTTTTAAGATAAACTTTAGAAAGGAAATCAAATTAAAAATTATTAACCGTTCGTTTTGACATTGTCAAAACTTTAATGTTTATCTAAGAAATATAATTTGTTTATTTATTGAATAATAGTTAGATGACTAAATGATTTCAATTTTAGTTAGGCTTTTACAAGGACTATAATGGTGACGCATAAAATAGTTCGCTCAACTATCTTGCAATATTTTACTGAATGAGATGGAGAGCCAAAGTATAATATAAAAATGATCAACTAAGAAGATTGCTAACATTCTCTATGTTGTAGTATGAAGTAATTGACTATCCAATAATACAAAACCTCACTATATTTATAGCAAACAACATTGGTAAAATCTAGGATTAGTTAGACTATCTTTCAACTTACATGAATATGCATTGGATCATTGATTGAATCAAGGTTTTTAGTTTACCTTGTCCTTGATTCAGTCATATTGGGCTACAACGTGGTTGTTCAATATTGTCTTGTCCTTTTCATGCATCAAGATTCAAGCATGTTGCCTGAGTGTGGCTTCCTAGTTTTGCATTCTTAGGGCACATTTATGCAAAGGTAATTGGAATCAAAATGGACAATTGAATTCTGATTATTGAAGACTTCAGTCTTTACTGAATATTAGAGAATTAAAAAGTTGGCGGGATCCATACGAAGTTTGGAATCCAACTCCAAACTTTAGAGAATTAAACTCCTACATTTGGATGGTATTTCAATTCCAAATTGTTCAAAGAATTAGATGAATTTTTTTCTCCATTATACCCTCACTTATTTATGAAATTCTAACATTGCCCTTCACAAGATTTTAATCCCTTTGGTCTTCCAAGAAAGTGAATTCGATTTGAGGGTCACCAACTAGTCTTTGGTCCAATGCTATTTGTCCCTATTTAATTAGAAAATGTTTGTATTTGACTTACATGAATGATAAAATTTAAAATTTATGATGAGCTTGATACATGATTGTGATGGTGTCACAACTTAAAAGACTAAGTGTCGTTTCGAAGTGTTTTTAAAATACTAAAAGCACTTTTGGTGAAAGTATTTTAGGGTCATGATCTAGATGCACAAATTGAGCTGTTGTTGAATTTAGTCCAGTTTTTTTTTTTTTTTTTTTCAACTTTAATTAATTATTTTTTATATTTTTATATCTTTACTCAAATTTTTAGTTGGAATATTTAAGTATTAAAATCTAAGAAAGTATTTTAGGGTCCTTTGATCTACGAAAATAAATAAACTTTAATAGGGCTGAAGTAAGGCGAATCAAAATACTGATACCTCAGAAGTCTGGTCATGGACTCAATAGCTTCTACTCATAAGCTTAATAAAGGGATCAGTGATGCCACCATTATCCTGTTCCTGAATCAGTGGGCAAAGTTCGGCGGCTTCGCTAAGATTGACTATATTTGCTCTGCAAGATACAGAAACCTAATACAGTGAGGAATCAACAAGTTTCCCATAATCTTGGAGGCTTATAATCTAAGGATTGATGTTCGTTGGAAGTGATCAACTCCTAAGAGGATGTAATATCTACTCTAAATATCTTCTGACATTTTCTCAGTGTAATTCGGACTCTAACATCCTAAAAGTCTCATTCTCAAATAAACATTATAGGATTCATTTATGGTAACGCAATAATAGCATACTTATTCTCTAGCTCATTGTTTCAATCGCATATTACTTACTAAATTGACTATCGAAGAGCCTTTGAGCAGCATCGCCCCTAGTCTTTGGCTAGCTCATGGTTTTTTGTTCTTTTACAAGTTACTCAAATTTGTGCATCTCCACTTCCTATGGAGGTGCGCGAATTTGGTTCGATCACCTATCATTCATGAAAATAGTTCAAATAAATTTCGTTTCCTATACATTTATAAATCCATACTAGTATATATATTGATAGATATAGTAAACGTAGTTAATCTGTGATGGAGGTGGAAGAAAAAATTGAGAGATGAATTAGAAGTAGGAAAAAGGAGAAACAATATTTAAATTTTATATTTAATCCTAAAATTCCGTAAAAGATAAACCTATAAATAAGAATGGCGGATCCATGACACCACTTTTTTTAGACAACTTTTGATAAGCGTTTTGTTGGGGCCCACTCTATAATGTATTTTAACGATCCAAAAGTCTATCTTTTAGACCATTATTCATAGATTATCGTTGCAAAAAATTTGACAAATCCAAAATCATTACGACATTTGTTTTGTAGTGAAGAAAAAATGTACAAATACGGTTTTACAAAGAACGCTGAACTCTTACTCCAACGATCATATAGTTTCAAATTTGAGTGATTTTTGTTAAACATGATTTTTGAGGGAAGTCCTAAAATGTAAAGTGTTTTGGTTCATTGAAGTATATTATGAAATCGGCCCTTAAAAAAAGTGTGTTAAAAGTTGTGTAAAAACAGTGGTGTCATGGATCCAATTCCCATAAATAAGAGATATGAAATTAATGAGTATATATCCAAAGAAAGAGCCTATCTGCCCATTTCTTCTTAGAATTAAATATTTTGAGATTTTTATTATTTTATAAATGCCCAATTTCCCCTTCATGTATGGTTACCTGATGCCATGGAAGGGCTTACCCCCATTTTGGCTCTTATACATGTCGCTACTATGGTAGCAGCATGAGTTTTTCTTGTAGCTTGGCTTCTTCCTCTTTTCTTAGTTATACCTTACATTCTACATCTAGGCCGACTACTTACTTTAGTATAGCTACACCTAAAAAAGTTTATTCCTACCCCCTTTTCTTCCCCTTTCTGTCAATGTTGCCAATTCTCAGAATACTTATAATGTACCCTCGCGCATACAATTGCCCAACAACTTTCTTCCTCCGACTTCTTTAGCCACTTCCGCATCTGTCGTCTTCGGGATCGGGAGAGCTTGCTTCGTGGCGGAGCATTTAGCAATTCCAGCAGCCTGGTGAGGGCTGGCTGTCTGAGGACAGGTTAAGGCTGGGCCTGCTGGGCTTGCTTCTCATGAGATTGGGTGAGGGAATCGGAAAGGGGCTCATAAACCGGGTGGGCGGGCTTTTGGGCACATGAAAAAGAGGAAGTGGATGGAGTGCTTTTTCAATCCAAATTGAAACGATATGATATAGAATGAATCAATAGTTTTATATTTAACTAGAATCAAAACAAAAGATAAATAAGCAGAGAATAGAAACCAAAGTATAAATGAGAGGAACAAAAGATTTTAGGGGAGGTTGTTCGTCTCCGAGTCCTTGACACAAGAAACAAGATCTGAAACCTCCTAGCCGCACCCTTTACTTCGACTTGGGGTTAGCGGCAGCCCGACTCCCACCTTTTTTATAGCCCTCACTCCCTCATTCCCTTCCTTCTCCACCCATTGCATGTTCCCTCTTTCCCCATCTTCCCCTCATCCTTCTCCATCTCTCTCAACATTTTATAGCCCCTCCTTCCCTTTTTCCCTTATCTTCTGCATTTTCCCTCTTCCCCCATCTTTCCCTCCTCCTTCCACTCAAAAGGTTTTTAATTTTATGCATTTTTTTTTTCTCTTTTGGCCTTTGTTTTGGCTTCTTTTAAGCTTTGTTCCTTGAACTTTGTCTCAATTCCCCTGAGCTTATCTCATAATTGGACTTTCATGGCCTTATCTTGCTTTAGTGTATTTTTCGTCGCACATCCGCAACCACCGACCTCTGCTACTCGACCCGTGTGCTTCTCCTCAGGTGTTGGGTGACTGTTAAAGTGCTTTTAGCACTACTTGGTAGGATTATGAAAGCGCTCACTGCGCAGGTGGCTCACTCACTCCCATTTTCCATTGATCCAGTTGTTTCATTGGTTCGTTCTCTTGGTGGTGGTGGTGGCCTTACCATGGAGGCGCAACTAGTGGTTGTTGGTTTTCATTCTAGTCTTAGGGTTTTTTGTTGTTGTTCAGCTGACCACTTTTGAGTCTTTTTATTGTATTTTCTTATTTGATGTTGGGCTTATATTTAGGTTGTGGGCTGTCTTTTGAGCTCTCTTTTTCTTGTATTAGTCTTTTTATTAATGAAAGTAATTTAGTTTGACAAAACCCAAAAAAAAAAAAAAAAAAAAAAAAAAAAAAAAGATGACATTTATCGCTATTTAATAATAAAAAAAAAA